TTAGCTGGTCCAAATAATTCTTAGGACGTTTTAGTAAAATTAAGATTCCTATAATTTGATGACGCTTTCACAGTACGTTCTAAAAGATTTAATTTAATCGAATACGTGGAATGTATTAGGGATGTGCAACGGCATGTAAAAAAAATTATGTAAAAAGAAGACTGCTATATAAAACTGCAAAAATTGCTTTGTCATGTGAAATTCAATATACTCTTGTCGTATTCGAAAGCTATGCTACTGTCAGAAAACTAATCAATTTATTCCAATAGTCACATTTACAATATGTATTTCGTAAAATTTTATAATTAGTCATAATTAATTCTTATTAAAATTTTAAAATTGTGTGATCTGCGAATATTAAATTTGTATATGAAATAATATTTATAAAAGCACATTTTAAGAAAGTTTTAAATAGTATCTAATAAAATTGAATACAATCGTATCTCTTTATATTTTTTAAGAATGATAAATTTGTTAGCCAAAAGCATCAATTACATGTTATTGTTTCCAAGACATTGGAATATGCAGTATTTATATTGCGTGCATTGTTCTGCATTAATAAAATATTAAACAGTATTATCTCATTTTTTAATTTTGTGTATGTCTCTCAATAATTCTGTAATGAAGGAAAAATGAAAAGCTTGTAAACGTCCGAATTTTATATACTCGAATATATAAATACGCAAGTATTTTAAATTGTTCATGCATTTGTGAACAGACACACATGTACACGCATACACACGATTAAATATTTATTGCAGAAGGGTAGATAGCAAGATGATAAAATATAACTATATCGGTCATGTCCAGCTATGACAGAAGCTGTCTGTATTAATCTGTGATAATAGTTAAGATAATGTCGCCAGCTGCCACTGTAAAACTGCTGTGTGTACCTACTTCCTGCTCCCTGTGTTGTAATTAATATCGTTATTATTTCTCTCTTTTTTTCTTTTTAGTATCAATTACGTATATCTCCTTTAGAGGCAATAAAGCGGCATCCTACATTGTGTATATATTCTCAACTTGCCAGTTTTAGTGGCATATTCACGAAGTATTTCAATCGAGCATATTCAATCTTGTTTACTGTTATACAGTTACGACGTTGTAATATTATTATACATACATATGATTATAAATAAATAGGAGTCTACATGTATGTACCAAACAAGTATTGCCTTCACTCCTGTTTGAATTGATTTTTATTCCACTTGTGTGTGTATTTTTTATGTATTATTTAAAATATATAAATATATAGCAAAGCTTTAAATTCACATAATTCAAACAAATGAACTCAACCAAGAGTTATATTGTACACATATAATCAATTCAGATAATGCTCAAAGATTCGCGCCTCAGTGTATTGTCTTGCTTGAATAAAAATTCGAACTGAACGAATATACATATAATATTATTGTAACACGTGGGCATTGCTTCGGAAATAAATTCAGAATCCAAAAATATAATACAAAAAGTTTATTTAAACATTATAAATACTTATTCCATCTAATTTTAATTTTGAGTTATAGAAGTTTTCGTCTTTCTTCAATAATTTTCGTTGGTCAACTTGAACTAGCATAGTCTTCACATATTTTTATTTAAAAAAAAGTGCTTATTAATGATCAGTAAAGTCAATTTTACAGTTACGTAAGTATAGTTGTGATTGTAGATGTAAGAATTAACCAATCGCATCGAATATGAGAAAAATATTCTACTGTGATTGGTCAATTCTTACATCTACAACCATATTTTATGACTACATTTATGCAATTATATAATAGAATGTGCTTAAGATACAAAGACGCGTGATCTTCACTTGAAAACTCTATCCAAATTTAGCTTATAACGAGAAAATATAAGAATTATATATAACAATTTTTATAATGAAATTATTAGAATTATTATAACGAAACAATAATTATGATGAAACACAAAAACGTCTGTAACTTAGAAATAAAGTCAAATAGAATAAATGTTTATGTAAACTTTTTGTAGCATTTTTATGTCCTGAATTCATTTATAAAATTATGTTCACATATTATAAAACTCAATATAACATGTTTGAATTTGAAAAATATTAATAATCTAAAGAATTCATGATAGAATTTGTCGACTATCAGAAAATTCCATTATTTAAAACGTATTATTTTATTTATGCGCGAAGAAAGATATTTATTCACATTTGTGACCTGTTATTATTGCTGTTACTTGCGAAAGTAATGATTTCGACATTCACCGACGATGAAACGCTAGGTAGCAACAGATATATCCGTACAAAGAGAAGATAAAATTATCCAATAAAATACTAAATAGGCGATGATGTACTTTTATGTCTACGCATGCACAGGTATTTTCAAAAGAATGCTATATGCAAATAATAAATCATTTCTATATAATTTTTCTTAAGTTATAAAAATATGTATATTTATATCATATGTCTTTTTTAATGAATATAATAAATTAAAATAACCTAAGAAATGGTTGTATGAAATGGTTGTAGAGAATATCAGAATACACATTTTTTACTTCACTACTGTTAATGTAGAAAATATAACTATAGAAAGATTTATACTTTATTACTTATTCAAGAGATTTCGTAATGGAGAATTCTTGCTGCCTCGTTTTTTACATGTGCTTTTAACTTTTGTATTCATCATCCTTTCTTATCACAGAATTATTATTATTGCCATTATGTCATTATTTTACTAATTGCAATTGGATACTTTTAACATTACGTCCATAAAAAAAATTGTTAGCCCTTTAGGACAGTAATAATAACAATAAAAATGAATATGTGCGTATTCTTTATTATTGACATAACAAGCAAATAATTTTTTTTTTAATGTTAGATTAATAAGAAATTATCCGATTTATTCGCGTACGAGAATATAAGTAAAACAGTCCCGGTTGTATTTGCAATTGTTTTGCATAATGAATATGTGCAAGCCGCTGCATCGATCGAATGAGCATCTGGAATAAATTAAAATATCTTTCATTCACTCGCAAAATTTCTTGATTCGCGCAAATCGCGTGCTTTCTCGAAAGTTCTGATTAAATATATCGATTAAAATTAATACCGTTTCTGTCTCTCAATAGAAAGGCTATCACATGTAAAAAAAATTTTAGTCGTTAACTGTACAGCCGTAAGCAAAAATCGACCAATTACAGTCAAAACTATGGCCAAAACTTTTGGAATATTCTATCATAATTGGTTGATATCTTACGATTATGATTAAAGGCACACAGAAAAACTTAAATAGTAAGCAATAAGGAAATCAATACTGCCTTATAAGCACAGAATATTTTTAGAATTTATATTATTTATCCTTTTTAATATTTGTATAATATTCTAGAAATATTGAGTCTTATACGATGCTTACATTATTACGATCTCTACTGTGATTGTAATTCATTTATTGCTTTAGTCTCACTGATTAAGCTTTTGTGTGCCATGGCCCTAAAAATTCTTTGCGTGTGATAACCTTAAAGATACTCAGGTCATAGTATCACGTATGTATCCAAAATTAGGACATGAGATATCTCGTATCTACTATGTCTTTTAGGCCAGTATTCGTAGTCGTCAATTCTTACAAACAGTGCAAGAAACGCGATCAAATCTTGTATTAATATTTTAAGATACAATATTATCTTAACTTAAGTTTTAAAATAAGAATGGCTTATAAATAATGAATATAGGCCTTAGGTCAACCACACATGTTCAAGCAAATTTGTCAAATATGCTTGCACAAGCAAATGTATAAATTTGTTTGAACGTGTACGTCAGAAAACTGCAGTTATTTTGGCTTACACAAATGACTTTTTTGACACACACGTTCAAATTTGCACAAGCAGTTTGCGCAAGCATATTTTAATGAATTTGCTAGAACGTGTGTAGTCGTCCTTAGACATCGTACAAATTTTTTTCGAAAATTGTAGTTGATAGAAAACTGATGTAATACTCGTTTACTTAAGTCAATAATAATACGAGAAGTTGTATAATATTGAGAAAAAGTTACATGCGTGATTATAATATTCTTCACACTCGTTACGTGTCTCGGATCGATCGAAATGTCAAATGCATTATGACGTTCCAAATTTCCAATACAATCCTGCAATTCCACTAATTAGCGTACGAACTATCTCGTAAGTCGTTGTGAAACGGCACTGCTTAAATATCTTGTTGAAATTTGTGCCCAAATGTGATGAGTGGGCATTAAATTTTTACAGACATTCTAACAAATAATATTATGACTTTTATATATCTTAATCATTGTGCGTTATATGTATCTCGTAATATGAACGTTTAACACAAAATTTATTGTGTGCCGTGTCATAAATAATTCTCCAGGATACATATTGTACAAATCTTAACAATATTTACGATCTTCATAAAGACGTCACCAGTGTTTTAGCTACCCGATTGTTTTCGAGACGTTTGTTTGCCTTCTGACATTCAAAGCCAATTCGAGACGCTTGTTTGCCTTCTGACATTTAAAGCTTTCTTGTAAGTTGCAAGGTGTGAAAAAAATTGTTTGTAATCGCACTATTGTAAAAGAATCAGGACGAATCGACCAAATCTATATTATACTAGTAAACCGAAAATTCGTTGAGCGCAAAATAAACGACGGGATAAGAATTATCGCGTCGTGATTCCTGAACTTTCGAAAGGTCTCCAAAGAACGAAAACCGTCGCGCGTAGCGACATTGGATTCTTTCGAAAGAAACGGAAAAAATTAAAAAAAAATCGAGTAAAAGAAAAAGAGAGAGAAAGAGTATATAGAGATTACACGAGCAATCGAGAGAGAGGGAGGGAGAGAGGGAGAGAGAGAGAGAGAGAGAATTTAGTATTATTTTTAGTACATCGAGCGCGAATCGGTAGCGGCATTCCGGGATTTCGGCAAGCGAGGTAGTATCACGCGCGATGTGGTCCGGGGTGCGCACCGTGTGTCTCACCCTCACCCCCGGCCCCTCCTGCCCTCCCACCACGCAACGAAAACTTAAAAATGCCGCCGCAGCGCAACCCGAATCGATATTCGCCGGTGCAGTCACGTGGCACGGTTTCGTGCCGCGCGGGCCAATGAGCGGCCGCGACGAGCGGATCTCGCTCCGCCTGTGCTCTACGGGACGACGACACGACATCTGCGTGCGGGTAGGCGGAACAACAGTCCGCGGCTGGTAGCGCACCGGTTCACAGTAGGCGATGTTCCGCTCTGCGGGCGGTCCACGTTAAATGACCCCGACACGATATACATCGACGTAGACGACGGGCGTTTAACCCAGCATCAGTAGTAGTAGCAGCAGCGACGACGACGACGACGACGACGACGACGAGGACGAGGACGAGGACGACAACGAAGATAACGACGTCGACGGAAAAGACGAGCGAGAAGGACGACATCACGACGTCGACACGTGAACAAGGCACGGCGCGCTGTCGTTTCGACGCTGATCGTCCCTTTCGGCACGCGTACATCACGCACGCATCACGTATGTCTATGTGTGGTGCCCTATCGTCCACCGGAAGAAGCGCGCGGAGCCGCGACTCGTAAGCGACCCCGTATTTATTCGCGTACATATTCGCCGTGATAGTTGTCTCGCGTGCAAAAAAGAGAGTCAACCAGTCGTCGTGGCTACGGGACAGAGTGAGAGAGTAGAGGAAGTGACTACGGTATACGCGACGGAGATCGAGAGCGCGCCGAGTAGTAGTGCGCGAAGGGGACGAGGTGGGGCGAGGTTGGTGTAAGAAGGAGAGGAGGAGCGAGGGAGCGAGATAGATGCAGAGCGCGAGATAAAGAGTGAGAGGAGGGACTCGCCGCGCGCGCGAATAGGATCGAGTGTGTATGTGTGAGAGAGAGAGAGAGAGAGAGAGAGAGAGAGACAGACAGAGACAGTGCCAGAGTGAGGCGAGACGTAGACGGTAAGAAGGAAGGGAACCAAGGAGTCCAGAGAGACCAGACGGTACGCGATATGGTGTTTCTATACGCGAAGGAATGGTGCTCTTTTTCGTGAAAAGTAATTCTCGCGGACGGTACGGTGCCGTCTGAATATAGGCGCAAAGTTGCGTCAGCCGCGTATCGTATCTTCGCTCCCGTCGATATATCGCCGATCGTCGGCCGTTTCGCGGTCGATCGTGAGATAAATCCCGCTGTGTCCGTCCCCCTCCCGGTACGACTATCACATCGTCGTCGTACTCGTGGATCGCGCGTTGATCCGTACCGTCGCGTCGACGCGGTGATATCGCGACGGTCAGTGCGTAGCGCGGCGGCGATCGATAAACGCGATCGATATCGGAATTGTCGCTCGCGCGTTCGTGAGTGGTACATACATCGTATCGGATACGTGTCGCGATACGCGCGCGCTCGCGCGCTGGAAAAACTCTTATTATGCGACTACCGAAGTCGCGTCATAATCGAGAACGGCAGGGATCGGATTAACCGAGAAGATAGAACGCGAGACGCGGAGAAGAAGCGGCGGAGGAAGAAGAAGAGGAGGTGGAGGAGAAAGAAGAAGAAAGATTTCAAGATAGAGGGAGATAATCACCGCGACGGACGAGGACACGACGACGAGCGCTCGACGGTCGCTCGCTCGTCGTCGGTTGCCGCGGCGGAGTCGTTGCGCGTGAGGCTTCGCCGCGCGGCAGCTGCGGCGGAAGCGTCGGCGGCGGCATTGGCAGCCTCGGTCGCGGCGGCGACGGCGACCGGCTCGGGGTCGCAGGACGACGAGCACGACGACGACGACGACGAGGACGATAGCGACGACGATATGGAGGAGAGCCACCTGCTGATGACTGAACTTCCCTCGCCGTTGACGCCGAGCGCCGGTCGCGGCGGTACAACCTTGCTCCATCGTCCGGGCCACTATTATCACCTGCATCAGCCGCACCTGGCGATACCGACGTCACAGAATCAGGCGATTCTTCAGCACAATTCCGGCGGCGGCACGGCGCCGCATTACGGCACCGATGGCAATGGCGCCTGTGGTGGTGGCGGCGGCACCGCGGGAGGCGGCGCGACCGCCACCGCCGCCGCCGCCGCCGCTGCCGGTCTACCGGCCTACACCATCAGCCAGGGTGGCATCTCCTCGCGGCATCAGCTGCACCCGCATCAGGTGCATCAACGTGGTACCGCGGTAACGCATGGCCAGCCTGCCGCGAGCACCCACGTGTCCTCCCTGTATCCAGAGATTCTGGCGCTTATCTTCAGCTACCTGGACGTACGCGACAAGGGACGAGCTGCTCAAGTGTGCACCGCGTGGCGCGACGCTGCCTACTATCGCTCGGTTTGGCGAGGAGTCGAAGCGCGACTGCACCTTAGAAAACAGGCGCCGGCGTTATTCGCCAGCTTGGTAAGACGCGGCGTGAAGAAGGTACAGGTATTGTCATTGCGTCGCGGTCTCAGCGACGTTCTAAAGGGCGTGCCGAATCTCGAGGCACTCAACTTGTCCGGTTGCTACAACATCACCGACTCCGGTATCACGAACGCTTTTTGCCAGGAATACCCGTCCCTCATCGAGCTCAACCTATCGCTTTGCAAGCAAGTGACGGACACCTCGCTCAGCAGGATAGCGCAGTTCCTCAAGAATCTCGAGCATCTTGAACTGGGCGGTTGCTGCAACATCACCAACACCGGTTTACTGCTGATCGCATGGGGTCTGAAGAAACTCAAGCGACTGGACCTACGAAGCTGCTGGCACGTTTCTGACTTGGGTATTGCTCATTTGGCTGGACTGAATCGCGAGACCGCCGACGGTAATCTCGCCTTGGAGCACCTGAGTTTGCAGGATTGTCAACGATTGAGCGACGAGGCGCTCAGGCACGTATCGCTCGGTCTTACCACCCTCAAGTCCATCAATCTGTCGTTCTGCGTCTGCATCACCGATTCCGGCGTCAAACACCTGGCCAGGATGTCGAGTCTACGCGAGTTAAATCTACGCTCGTGCGACAACATCTCCGACATCGGCATGGCGTACTTGGCCGAGGGCGGCAGTCGCATCACGTCGCTCGACGTGTCGTTCTGCGACAAGATCGGCGATCAAGCACTCGTGCATATCTCCCAGGGTCTGTTCAACCTAAAGTCCCTGTCATTGTCCGCCTGCCAGATCAGCGACGAGGGTATCTGCAAGATTGCCAAGACTCTACACGACCTCGAGACCCTCAACATCGGCCAGTGCAGCCGGCTCACTGACCGGGGTCTGCACACCGTCGCCGAGAGCATGAAGAATCTCAAGTGCATCGACCTGTACGGCTGCACGAAAATTACCACCAGCGGCCTCGAGCGGATCATGAAGCTGCCACAGCTCAGTACGTTAAATCTTGGTCTGTGGCACGTGCGGTGATGGCTTTTTCCGTGGCTAAGTGCTCTGGACGAACGCTGCCAACGTTACCGTCATCGTCATCGGCATCGTCATCGTTACCAAGGCGACGACGACTCCTCGCAGCGACCCAAGGATAACTTCGTCTTTGCGCGCATGTTCCTGCCGCAGGCGGTAAGTCCGTTTCTGTCGCTCGGCGCACGAAGTCGCCCGAGCGCCCTCGACATCGGTATCTACGACGTCGTCGGCGAATAGCGTAAATAGCGAATTTAGCTCGTTTCTCCGCCCGAGACGGGAATTCCCCCTCTCTCTCTCTCTTTCTCTTGAGAGAGAGAGAGAGAGAGGCTGGTTCTCGAGGGGCACTGTTTTTCAAGATTGGCCCAATTTTTACTCTTTAGAGTAAGATTCCATTTCAAAGAATTTAGAGAGTTTATTTTCGTACTCTTTCAACATGATAAATTAAACTCTTCGAAATAATAATTAATTCGAATTTTTAATTTAAAAATGTTATATGTCAATTGCCAACTGCGTGTCGTTGATCATAGTCTTGCGGAAGTAACGAGCGAGAAAATCGCGACGTTCGTTTCCCTTTTTTTTTTTCCTAAATTTTTCGAGAATTAAGCGAGCTGAGAATTGAATCGAGGCATTTAATACTCGTCGAATTCTTCGTTTAATTAATCTAGCGATCGTTTTCGACGCGCGACG